TAGTAATGCCAGGACTGCAAAGGCAGAAGGAGTGGGAACCCCGGCAGGGTCTGGCACAGGGCACGGCGTGGATACCTTGCAGCCTGGTGCTGCGAAATGTGGGTAGCCGGGAGAGAGCAAGTCTTTTGATGCTGGGATGGGAGAGTCACCGATGTGGCCCTGAGGGGCCGTGCAGAAGGAAACCACCTGCCCCAGGCACTGCACGGAGGCATCCATCCCCCTGTGCTGAGCAAATGCTGCAGCATCAGCCCACAGGCTCTCGGCAGGGGCAAACCCAGGCTAGCCTCACCCTATAGAGAAATTTTCCTCTTACCCTGTAGAGAGATTTTCCTTTCACCTATTATTTTCCTGCACTTTTCCTCAGCTTCCATCTCCTTTATCCATCACTCCCAACTCTTCAACGATCTCTGATGCACAAAATCAGGGTGAGGCATCCCCTTTCTTTCAGGATGGACTCTACTTTACTCTCCCAGCTGTATCGACAACTGCTCAAACCCATACCCTTTCACAAAGCAGGAGCTCAAACTTTGCTCTCATCCTCCTCCTGGCTGCGGCTGCTCCTGAGGCCCTCCAGCCACCCAGAGACATAAAAGATGCATTTGCAGATTTTGAAAATTAAAACCATCTATACAGCCAGTGGGGAGGGATCAGCTTATTTGGTTGCTTAATGAAATATAAAGATTATTTTAACCAGTGTAAGCACTATTCGACAGCTTGTGAAACACAGTGGTGGCTTGATGAATGGCTTTCTCCATTAAAAAAAATTGCTGCATGATGTCTTTTAAATATTTAATTTATTGGGGTTGGAGTGTGCTCAGAGCTGACAGTTAAACAGGAGCTGTTTGCGGTCTCAGTTAACTTTGCTTATTAGGCTGAACAGTCTCGCTCTGTAAATGCAAGATATCTCCTTTTCCCTCATTTTTTATACTGAATATGGGATGATACATTTGCTGCACAAGTGGGTAGGAAGTTCTGCCCGTCGTCTGCACCGCAGCACACCAGGCAGTTATCACTAAAGCTGTGATGGGTACTGACTCCCATCCTCAGTCCATCATTATTAAGTCCCCTGCTTTTTATTTTCTTTATTTTTTATTTGATGCACTTTTTTCTAGGCCACCCGGAAGAGTTCATTCAGACACACATGTACACACAAAAGCATCTTTTAACAATCAAATAAACTGAAATCTTCCTGAAGCAAGTGTTTCAGTGGAAACACTGGGCTCCAGACACAACATAGTTGGCAGTGTCCTCGGAAGACTGTGTGGTATGGGATAATTCCCCTCCTTTCCCTCTTCATTTTTCCCTTAATGTGCCAGCTTGGTACACAACCAACGGCATGCAAGGGGGATTAGAAAAGAAACGTGCATTTCCATGAGTTGGGAGTCAAAGACACTTGGCCTTCCACATATCTTTGGGCATGGCTGAGCCCCGGTGTGGATTCTCCAACATCTGTTAAGGATGGAGGTCTGGCAGCAGCCCAGGGCAGTTAATAGGTTCTGTGTCCTCAAATGGTTTCCATGAAACACACAGGAACTTAATAAGCTTTGAGACCTCCACCTTGCCAGCCAAAGCTGGTGAAACTGGTCAGCCAGTTCACAAGTTAGGGGGTGGGAAGGGAGGAGGAAAAATGAAGATGCAAACCTCTGTTTCCCTGCCTGCGTTGGCCAGAAACACCAGTCCTGCTCTTGGACTGCAAAAGTGAAGCAGCGAATGACTATCCAGCCAGCTCGCGTGATCTTGCTGCCGATGGGGACCGGCTGAGCACGGCTGCCCACCGAGCCGACTTGGTGCGTGCTGAGAGCTGCTCTGCCGCAGGCTGGGGTGGGATGATGCTCTTCGGAAACGAGCCACACTGGGGAAGGGGTGAGGCTGCACCACAGATGCCACCAGAATCATACAACATAGTGTCCAGGTCGGGGACCTGCAGGTCCTCCCCAGGTGATGGGAGATGTCCTCTGTGGCCATGTCAACGGCATATGTCACTGGGACGTGCTCCTGTCCCTTAGCATGTGCCACCCAGCAGCAAAGCTGTGCAGTCCAGCGAAGCAACATCCCTGCTGTAATTTTGCTGTGTACCTATCATGAGGAAAATACAAATGCCAAAAATCTGTTGGCATGTGAAGTCACTCACTTCAATCAGAGAACCAGCAAACAATGTTGGCATTGCTTAGGTCTTCCATAAGCTTGATTAGAGCAGAGCT